TGAGAAAGCCTTTTCCTCTCACGCCAAGAACAAGGCGCGTTAGTGGAAAATAATTGGTAGAAATTCTAGGCAAAAAGTTGGCCATCAAACAACACAATTGTAAGGAAAATGGAATTTCTTTTCATTTTCCATGGAAAAGGGGTGTTATCAAACACACCCTTACAGAAAATTATCCAAACATATTGAAAAGCAATTTTTTAGTAAAAACTTCTAGCCAGATAAAATATTTTCAGAAAATTATCCTAACAAGTTCAAAAGTAAGAATCAACTTTTTAACTTTTCAAAAGTTTTGCAAAAGTAGCCTGAATTTGTAGTTGACTTCAAATTTATAAGGAACAAGACTTAGGGCCTGTTTGGTACGGCTCAAAATACAATTAAAATTGAAAATATAGCCGTTATTGAGTCCCACTCATCTAATAAAAGTCAACAATAACGACTAATTTTTCAATTTTAATCTGATTTTAATATCTACCAAACACTCTCTTAACTAGTTTATTATCAGGGTAATTGGCAAAAAACACTCCTAACTTTTGCCTCTATCGTGAAATATTCACTTTCCTTATATTTTGGCGGAAAATACCCTACCTGACATTTTCTTTTATTTTCTTAATAAAACCTTGAGAAATGATGAATATGTGCTCTTCTTTAAAAAAAATAAAAAAAAATAAAGAAAGTTTCATTTTTTTCAATAAAATGCAAACAAATCCCACATAAATAATTAAAAAATTAAATTGACGTATAAATTAATTTTTATATTTTATTTTAAAAAAATTAAATTATTTATTTATTTATATTATTATTGATGTATAAGTTTATTTTTATATTTCATTTTCAACGAATTTATTGTAATTAGTATATATTAATTTTCCATGGAAAAGGGGTGTTATCAAATACACCCTTACAGAAAATTATCCAAACATATTGAAAAGCAATTTTTTAGTAAAAACTTCTAGCCAGATAAAATATTTTCAGAAAATTATCCTAACAAGTTCAAAAGTAAGAACAACTTTTTAACTTTTCAAAAGTTTTGCAAAAGTAGCCCGAATTTGTAGTTGACTTCAAATTTATAAGGAACAAGACTTAGGGCCTGTTTGGTACAGCTCAAAATCCAATTAAAATTGAAAATATAGCCGTTATCGAGTCACACTCATCTAATAAAAGTCAACAATAACGACTAATTTTTCAATTTTAATCTGATTTTAATCTATACCAAACACTCTCTTAACTAGTTTATTATCAGGGTAATTGGCAAAAAACACTCCTAACTTTTGCCTCTATCGTGGAATATTCACTTTCCTTATATTTTGGCGGAAAATACCCTACCTGACATTTTCTTTTATTTTCTTAATAAAACCTTGAGAAATGATGAATATGTGCTCTTCTTCAAAAAAAATAAAAAAAAATAAAGAAAGCTTCATTTTTTTCAATAAAATGCAAACAAATCCCACATAAATAATTAAAAAATTAAATTGACGTATAAATTAATTTTTATATTTTATTTTAAAAAAAATAAATTATTTATTTATTTATATTATTATTGATGTATAAGTTTATTTTTATATTTCATTTTCAATGAATTTATTGTAATTAGTATATATTATATATATGTAAATCAAATGAACGACGACAATATCATGAATTATATTACCGATGGCTATCAATAGTTCTTCGATAAAAAGAGAGAAGCTTGGGTCAGTAATATCAATGGTTTCTTCGTCGACCATTAGTGATTAAAGAAGTATTGATAATCGTCGATAATATAATTTATGCATATGTATGAGAAATATTTATTTATAATTTTTAATCAAAGTTAAATTCTAAATTTAAGTACATGTTCACATTATTACTCACTTATTATTGATACATTTTGAGAGATCCATAACTCTACTCTTTATAAGGAGAGATTATAATAAATTCCACTATCACGGCCTATTTATTACCTAACTTCTCAATGATAGTCAAATCACTAGTGCTTCAATTTGGCAAACTTTTTGCAAATTCTAGTAATTCGTACAAAGAAAAATAGGAATACGTTGCACAACATATTGACGTACAAATAAATAAATCACAACTTGATAACAAAATACTAACATTGGAAGAACGACAGTATCTTCAAGTGCTACGATAGATTTACAATTTTAATTTCACATGAAAAAGTTTATTGTTTATGTGCAAATTTATTTCATTGGGAGAATGCGTGATTAAAAATAAATTTTAAAAAAATTGAGGTTTTAGATAACAAAGCTCATACAGGGTTGATTGTTATATTGCAATTCTATTCGGGTCGTCCCCTTTTCTTTGGGTGTTGGTGGAATTAGAACAGTAAATCTAGTGGAACTCACGTGGTGTCAAACTGAAACCTCAATCATGTTCAATTGCAGTCCCCCCATTGTTCCTCTTTTTCTGTACCAAATTTGTTATGTTCTTTCTTTAAACCTTTCTATGATTTCTTTGTCTTGAAACACTGAAGACCAATTCCCTTTCTGATCTTCCGTACGCTATATTTTGCCTTGGGTGTCCTTATCATGGGGAACATTGGATATGTGGGGAATGTGGATAGTCAAAAAGATCATGTCTCAATGAGGTCATATGACTTGGTCTTGTCTCAAGACAAAGCACAGAAGAGACACTGCTTGGATAATTGGTCGTCACGAATTCCTTCAATGAGACGTGGTGTTGGTAACTAAACTTCAACTTCGACTTTAAGTTGGTCATTCCATCAACATTTCTTATTGAAAATTGATAGTGTTAGTCAAATTGTTGTCAAACGACCTTTCGGTCGACGATATAAGTATTGGCATCGACTAAATGATTGAATGTATATCGACACCGCAATTGTCTAAACCAATCATATAATTCATTTGGGGCATTTGAAGCAGTCTTGACGAAATTCGGGCTCAGTATGTTGAATTTACAGATAGTCTTAACGGATATGGACAAAGTGACTAGAGCTTAAACTTGTTAAACGACTAGCATGCATTTTGGTAAAAGTAGGTTAATTGAACCCTTCCCAAATTTGTATTTTAAAGCATCACCTCTCTCATTTATCCCTGTGTACCTTTATGCAAGCATTATGTTCCCCATGAATTTCCGTAGCTTATAAATTGAGCTTCAATCTCCTGGATGAGACACACAGGCCTATAACCAGGCATAATATTTTCATACTCATTCCTCAGATCTTGGATTTACTAAATTTATTCATCGATCATAGCTGCTTCTCATCAGCTCCAAGTACATATAACTCAACTGCAAATGGCCAAGAATGAGGAATATGCCAAGGCCTCAAAGAAACACAAGGTAAATCTCCCTCCAACTCGAGGCCAGATTAAAATCAAGATATTTCTTCAAGCTGTGAAGAAGTTAAGCCAAATGTTTAAAGTACAAAACTCGGAATGCGATAAGAAAGCCGAGGAAAATGTACCTTAATGTTCATTGCTGCAAATTGCCATGCTTTAATATGTGTATCATGGCTTCATCTTTGTTTTTAAATTCTGCATGAGCAGTGATTATTAATTCCCAGTAGCGATCGTACTTGTTCAATTTATGTCTCTCGACTTGGATCTCGATATGCTGGCCTTGGAAAGTTATAATATAAGCAGGAGGGATTCACAGAATTTCGAGGCGTAAATGATATATGAACTAATTTCATACCATCAGTCACTAGTAAGGACAAGGCTGGAGTCTGCATGCATTAATGTGGACTAGGGTACACAGAATTGAACATGACCTATTATAATCTATCACCTGATTATGAACAAAAAAAAAATT